TTTGCTGCACCACATCACTGTGCTGGACCATCAGCTGTTGCTGCAAACCCCTACTTTTTGCACCCCCCAGGGCACTGCTGCTGCACCATGGTCACTGCTGCTGCCCACAGTCTTCTTGCCACCATCAGCGCTCGCACCACACACCGCGCCTTTCTGCACCCCATCCTGTTTTGCGCAAACCCCACTGTTCCGGCCATCAGGGTTTACCCCACGTTGCTGCATGACAATCAGGCTGCTGCAACCCCCAGCCCAGCTCTGTGCACCCCAAAAAAGGGGTTTTTTTAACGCGCTGCACCACATCAGCTGTTCGCACCACGTCAGCTTTGCGCAACCACATCAGCTGTTGCCACCACCATCAGCTGTTCCACTCAAAGATGTGGAGAGAGTGTTGTTGGTGTGGCTTAACGTGAAACAATTACCGAGAAACGATTAACCCCATAGGGTTAGCCACCCAGGATAACCCAAGAAAGCCATTGCATCATCAAGGACCGTCTAATTTATTTCCATTACGGTCCTTAATCTTGTCCCCCAGAATGCGACCCACAACAGTTGACTAACACCCAGGTGAACAGGAAAAAATGCCTGGAACTAGTGCTCATATTGGTGAATTTAAGGCCAGCAATGGTTGGTTTGAGAGATTTAAGAATTGTAGTGGCATACACAGTGTGATAAGCATTGTGAAGCTGAAAAATTCATCCCCCAACAAGTGTTAATTGTGACAAAACAGGCCTTTTCTGGAAGAAAATACCAAACAGAACCTACATTACTCAGGAGGAAAAGGCACTCCCAGGACACACGCCTGTGAAAGACAGGCTAACTCTCATGTTTTGTTGTAATGCTAGTGCGGATTGCAAAGTGAAGCTTTTACTCGTGTATCACTCTGAAAATCCAAGAGAGTTCAAGAAAAACAGTGTCTCGTCACACATCAGTACTTTTCAATAAAGGTAAGGGTCATTTTAACATTTATTTATGTAGTTATTGTGCATGTCTTGTTTTCTTTGTAGGGAAATGTATATTTCATGAAAATTTTTTTTTTAATACTTTTGGCTGTCTGAAACGGATTAATTGGATTTTCATTATTGCTTATGGGGAAAATTAACTCTGAACGATAATTTCGGCTAATGATGAGCTCTCAGGAACGGATTAATATCATTAGGCGAGGGTCCGCTGTATTACAGAAACAAACATGATTTTGATTGCTTGCATGACAAAAAGTACCTTGAAATTGAGCTCAAAGTAGTGGAAATGTTCGATTTTTGCCTATGTTCAATGAACTGTGTAAGTCAAGTTGGTTAATTTTATTAAGTGTATTCTAACCTAACCACTCTGTAATCCGGCAAACTCAGTAATCCGGCACACTACAGGTCCCAATGATGCCGGATTTGTGATGGAGGACCTGTAGTATCTTCCCATATTCTTACTGTCAGAGAAAACTGAGTATTTTTGAGGCTAACTGCAGTAGTTCACTAGTTTTCTAAGGAAAACACTGAAACAGGGTATTTATAAATATGAAATATCGTATAAAAACTGTATATATCATGTGTTGGGGAATGATGAGGGTAGGGGATGTTGATGGAAATCATTGTCCTTTTCTTCTCAGCACTGTCCTTTGCACTTATTTTCTTAGGACCCATGGTTAAAAAAGAGAAATTTGGCTATATGACTGTAAAAATTGCAAACAAGCACGAGAGAACTGCTCTCCACAGCAATGTAAATAATGTTTAGTGCTTACCAGCTGTGCCAACTAGCAGAAGCAGTCTGAATTATTATTATGTATGTATTATGTATCTATTATTATTATTATTTATTGTTATTATTATTAATTTAGGGAATTGAAGCTCTATTGTTACAATACAGTAGACTGTTATTTAACACGGTAGTTACGTTCCTGAAAACACTGTGTTATATGAACTGAATAACTTATGGGAAAAATAGGGTTACAATCCTGAGAGCCCCAAAAGAGTCAAACAACTTTTTTTAGACCTCCACATCTTACAAAAATAAAAGTGAATATGTAATTGTAGTTTATTGTTGTGATGTATTATGATGTTTTTACTGCTTAAGACTACAAATGTAACAGAAATAATAGTATTTCTTACCTTAAATTGTGGGTGCTAGTGTTTGTGGATAATTATGGAGAGAGTGGAGTTTTATGCTGTGGCCCTACTGGGCTGAGGTGGTTGGTAGAGGTTCTGGTACTAAAGTTGATGGTTGTTCTGGAGTGTCTAACTTTCATTCAGTAAGTCAGTCAAGTCATTAACCCTTTGAGGGTCCGTGCCATAAATCTACGGCTTTACGTTAAGGGTCCAAACCGTGGATCTACGCCATGAGCTCAGCTCCCTCTGATATGCAGTGAGTGTAAATTTGGGCCTAGATATGATAGAATACATCTATGTGTTATGTGTGCACCACATAAAACAAATCCTGCAGCACACAGTGCATAATGAGAGAAAAAACTGAGACCATAATTTTCGATTAAATAGCGACTTTCCAGTGTTTTTTCGTATGTTTTTATAGTTGTATTTGCAATTTCTTGGCCTCTTTTGATAGAATGGAAGATACATTACAGAAATGGAGATGATTTTGATTGGTTTTAGTGCTGAAAATGGCTTGAAACTGAGCTCAAAGTAACGGAAATGTTAAGAGTAATAAATAAATGACCTCACATGTTTAATACACACCAGCTGGTGGGTCTAATATACGTTCACAAATGTGGTGATATTATTTATACAGTTATTACAATATTGCATGACAGTAAATCTTCTATTTTTTGGTTTGAATAAAAATTCATTATGTGAATTAAAAATCAAAATGAAATTCATTAGTAAAGCCCTGAAAACGTAAGTAATGAACAGAGGAAATGTTACTTTAATGCCAGGAATACCTGCATTGTTTATTCTGGACCCTATTTTGAAATTGGAATATTTTGAATTTTGCATTAAATTGGCCAAATTACCAATTTCCGATCACTTTATTTTGTAGTTGAAACAGTTGATTTGGCAATTTCTTGTGCTCAATCAATAGAATAGAAGTAATACTAGTGAAATAGCTAAGAATTTGGTCGACTGGAATAATGTAATTGGCCTAAAATGGGAGTCTAAGTCGGCAAAATGGTCGATGAGTAAATAACGCTGACACATCAAAATTCACGAGAGCATAATTTCATCAGTTTTCCATCAAATTTCATACTTTTTGTTTTATTACCTTAAGAAAAAGATTCTCTACCATTTCATAAGAAAAAATAACTTTTTTTTTTTTTTTTTGAAAATTCTTGGACCCTGGTGTGCACTTCGAAATTTGGCCTCTGGACCCTGAAAGGGTTAAAAATAACATTTTTTATTTCATTGTTAAAATTTGTAAAAACAAAGCTTCACAATATATTTATTTAAAAATAATTTCTTAAATGGTCACTGTGAATTTTGGATTGGGTAACTAGCAATCCTTCTAAATTCTTGCTAATTAAATAACAGTTTTATAAAATTGCCAAAAAAATGTATAAATATTGTAAAAGGTGACAGGGCCTTTCTACCAAGCAGCTCTGAGCTATTAAAAGAAAATATTCAAGGAGGAAAATGCTTATTATTTTTGGCTGAACTGTAAAAAAAAGATTACATAGATAAAAATGAGGAAATGAATACAAATCAGCAGTAATACAAAATGTCTAGCAATTTTAACTCTTTCAGGGTTTCGGACGTACTAGTATGGCTTACGTACCAGGGTTTTTGACGTACTAGTATGCCTACGCCCTCAAATCTAGTGAGAGAAAGCTGGTAGGCCTACATAGGAAAGAATGGGTCTATGTGGTCAGTGTGCGCAGTATAAAATAAATCCTGCAGTACACAGTGCATAATGAAGAAAAAAAAACTTTGACCATGTTTTTGTATTAAAACAGCGACTTTGCACTGCATTTTCGTATGGTATTTATTGTTGTATTCTAGTTTTCCTGGTCTCATTTTATAGAATGGAAGACATATTACAGAAATTGGGATGATTTTGACTGGTTTTACAATGAAAAGTACCTTGAAATTGAGCTCAAAGTAGCAGAAATGTTCGATTTTTACCGAAGTTCAAAAGTAAACAAATCATGCTAAGCGTCCAATACACATCAACTGGTGAGTCTAATATTCTTTCACAAGTGTGCCGATATTATTTATACCATTTCTACACTAATGCAGTAGTCTGCATAACAGTAAATCTTCTATTTTTTGTGAAAATAAAAATTCAAAGTGGAAAGCAAAAGAATGTAAGATTGGCATGGGGACATGACTAATGAACAGAGGAAATGTTATTTTAGTGCCAGGAATGTCTTTCTTGTTTATTCTGGACCCTATTTGGAAATTAGCATCTTTTGAAATTTGTGTGAAATTGGCAAAACTGCTAAATTCTGACCACTGTATTGGATAGTTGAAATTGGTAAATGGGTGTTTTCTTGTACTCATGATAGAAAAAATGGATTTCTAGCGAAATCGTTATGATTTTTGACGACTAGTACACTGGAATTGGCTGAAAATGGGGCTCAAAGTGGGCAAAATCGCCAATGCGTAAACATCGTCGAGACCGCTAACTTTGCAAGAGCATAATTCCGTAAGTTTTCCATCAAATTTCATACTTTTGGTGTCATTATGATCGGGAAAAGATTCTCTATCTTTTCATAAGAAAAAATAATTTTTTTCTTATGAAAAGAGGGCCTGGGACTCTGAAAGGGTTAAACAATAATATAAAGGCTCTATATTAATATTAATTTCCATAATATTGAAGGGACCCGGGGGGAGGACGAAGAGGGTTTACGGCTTTTGGACTCTGCCATGTTTGGCCCTACCTGTTATTCGCCTTCAGTTGTTTTGAGACAGATTACCCTCATTGATATCAATAATTTAAAACAAGGTTTCCTTTAAACACATTTTTTATAAATTGATAGAGAATGTGTGTTATTCATGTAGCAATGTACAGGCAATTATTAGTGTATAAATATTACAATAGTGCACTTTATTTTTCTGCAGAGTTCAACAGCAGAGGTGACAGTTTGATGGAACTGGAAACTCAGCTTCATCACTCAGCAGATATTAATGTACAAATGCAAGAGAAGCTCAACCAGTATGAAGAATACACACACAAGATTAAACGGGTAAGACTTGTAATAAACACACAGAAGAATATGGTTTCGTTTGCAATGTCTACATATTGCATATGGTTCCCACAATATTTAAGAAACTTCCTCATTAATTAAACATATGCTATACATTGGGTCCTTGAGTTACAATGATCTTAACTTACAATAATTTTGAGTTAGGATTTACCCACATGATGGAATTTAGTTTTCGGTTACAATGAAAAACTTGAGGTAAGATATATGTATGATGGTTGGTGTGTGTGGGTGGCCCTCAGCCATCCAGTGGTGCTGTAGCTTGCCCCTTTGGGTAGTCTGAGCCAGTAGGAGCATTAGTGTGGGGAGACTTAGCAGCCAATCAGCAATGGAAACTAATATGTCTGGGGTAGCATCTCGACCAATAGTGTTTTTTTTTTTTTTTTTTTTTTTTTTTTTTTTTTTTTTTTTTTTTATTAACACATCAGCCATTTCTCACCAAGGCAGGGTGACCTGAAAAAGAAGAAACACTTCCATCATTCACTCCTTCAGTGTCTTGCCAGAGGTGCACCTACACTCTAGTAAAAAACTGCAACATATCTCCACCTCTCCTTCAGAGCACAGGCACTGTACTCCTCACCTCAGGACTCAAGTCTAGCTGACTGGTTTCCCTGAATCCCTTCATAAATATTACTTTGCTCACACACCAACAGCACATCAAGTCTGTACTAGCTCCTGTCTAACACGCTCACACACGCTTGCTGGAAGTCTAAGCCTCTTGCACACAAAACCTCCTTTACTCAATCCTTCCAACCTTTCCTAGGGCAACCCCAACCCCACTACAAGATTTACAGTGGACCCTCGGCTATTGGCCATAATCCGTTCTAGAAGGTCGGCTTAAATCCGAAAACTGAAATATTTCCCACAAGAATTAATGTAAATCCAATTAATCCGTTTCAGACACCCAAAAAATATTAACAAAATATACATTTTTTAAAGATTATAGTTTTACATACAGAAAACAATGAGAAATAAATAATATAAAGCACAAATTTTAATGATAAATGAACATTACGTACCTTTATTGAAAACTCTTGTTAGCATATTGAAGAAGGCAGGAGGGGAGAAGGAGTTGGGAATCTCCAACTCCCTCTTCCCTCTTTGTAGTGCAGCCGTTCTGGGCTACACAACACAGCCATATTATTACCATGTTCACTGAGTTTAATCGTTTCTGACAACTACCTTTACATGCCATCATAAACAAAGGGAGAAGTAATGAATAATTCACGCCGAGAATTGTAAACAAACACATATGATGGGCAGTTACTGGGTGAGACGCCAGATTCACAGTTTTCTCTGATGCTGAATCAGAGAAAACATAATGTTTACTCTCCACCTGACTCTCCACTCGATAGCATATAAACATTGCATATGTTTATATTGCTATGTTTATATGCTATATGCTATGTAACATTTTTCTTATATAATTTTGAAGAAAATATCATGGAAGGATTAATGAAAATGTCTATATTAACCTAAAATAAGATATTTAATGTGCTCAAGAGTGATTTATTACCTGTCCAATACGACCGATTTCCAAAATAATGGCTGATAACCGGGATAGAATTTCGGCCCAAAAAGTGGGTGAAAACCAAATTGGCTGATATCTGGAATGGCCAATAACCAAGGGTCCACTCTATATGCCTTCCAAGTCATTCTATTTTGTTCCATCCTCTAAATGTCCGAACCACCTCAACAACCCCTCCTCAGCTCTCTGGATAATACTTTTAGAAACCTCACACCTCCTAATCCTCAAGCTATGGATTTTCTGCATAGTATTCACACCACACATTGCCCTCGGCCTTGTCATCTCCACTGCTTCCAGCCTTCTCTTTGTTGCAACATTTACCATCCATGCTTCACACCCATATAAGAGTGTTGGTACCACTATAGTTTCATACATTTCCCTCTTTGTTTCCATGGATGACATTCTTTGTCTTCACAGACTCCTCACTGCACCACTTACCTTTTTTCCCTCGTCAATTCTATGGTTCATCTCGTCTTTCATAGACCCATCTGCTGACAAGTTCACTCCATCTGAATACATTCACTTCCTTCATACTCCCTCCAATCTGATAGCAAATCTTTCATTATCTAAATATTTTGTTATCCTCTTCACCTTGCTCTTTCCTATGTTCACTTTTAATTTCCTTCTTTTACATCCCCTCCCAAAATCTTACACAAACCTTTGCAACTTCTCTTCAGAATCTCCCAAAAGCACAGTGTCATTAGCAAAAATCAACTGTGACAACTCCCACTTTGTGTTAGTCTCATCATTTAATCCCACATATCTTGCCAACACCCAGGTATTCACTTCTCTTGACACCCTATCAATAACTATATTGAACAGCCATGGTGACATCATGCATCCCTGTCAGAGGCCTACTTTTACTGAGAAATAATCTCCCTCTCTCTTATATCCCTTTACCCAAGCCTAACTATCCTCATAAAAACTCTTAACTGCTTTCAGTAACCTACAATCTGGTCTGTACACTTGCAACATCTGCTACATTGTTCCCTTATCCACCCTATCATATGCTTTTTCTAAATCCATAATTACAACAAATACCCTTTACCCTTATCTAAATATATACTGTTCACTTATATTCTTCACTTTAAACACTGTCTACACACCCCTTACCCTTCCTAAAGCCTCTTTGTTCATCTACAATCCTGTTCTCAGCCTTATTCTTAATTCTTTGCAGAAGGGAGATAGAGTGATATCCAAAATTTACACACCAGTAGCTTTAACACCTCACATCATAAAAGTCTATGAAAGCTTGACGAGACCCCAAATTACGAACTTTATGGAACAGCACCAACATGATTTTAGAACTGGATGATCATGCCTGTCACAATTGCTAAACCACCTTAACAGAATACAGAGGTTTTGGAAGAAAACCAAAGTGCAGATATGACATACACAGATTTTTGTGAAGGTTTTTGACAAATGCAATCATAGGGTGATTGCACACAAAATGAGTGGCCATAGGCATAACTGGGAAGGTAGGCAAATGGATTTTCAAGTTTCTAACATGTGGAACACAAAGAGTAATAGTAAACAGAGAAAAATCTACCATCAGCTAGGTAACAAGCTCAGTTCCCCAAAGCACTGTCCTGGCACCACTGCTGTTTCTTTCCCTCATAACAGATATAGATAAAAATGCCTGTTAAAATTTTGTATCATTTGCAGTTGACACTAACATAAACATGAAAGTCACTTCATTAGAAGACACTGAAAAGTTGCAGGAAGATATAAGCACTGTTTTCCAGTAGGCAGTAGAAAACAACATAATGTTCAATAGTGATAAGTTCTAGCTGCTTAGATATGGAAAAAACAGCTCAAAAACGTCGCTGTGTTCAAAACTCAAGAGAACCATCAAATAGAATGAAAGGAACACATGAAAGACCAGGGAGTAATTATGTCAGCCAACCTTTATTTCAAAGAATACAATAAGGCAAATGTCATTACAGCCAGGTAGATGAGAGGGTTGATATTGAGAACTTTCAAAACAAGGGAAATTGTACCAGTGGTTAAACTTTTCAAATTGTTGTGCTTTCTTTTTTTAGAATATTGTTCAGTGTTGATGGCCCGTTCAGGAAAGGAGAGAGAGATTGGAGCTGGAATAGATACAGAGATTGTTTATGGTCCACATGGAGCCAGTAATGCATTTAAATTACTGGAAATGACTTGAAGTCCTTAATTTGTACTCACTACAATGGAGAGAAATAGAGAGAGAGATAGAGTGATAGATTTATTTATTTATTTATTTATTTATTTATTTATTTATTTATTTATTTATTCATTCTTGATAATTTGTACTTGGAAATTACAGTGGACCCCCGGTTAACGATTTTAATCCGTGCAAGAGGGCTCATCGTTATGCGAAATAATCGTTATGCGAATTAATTTTCCCCATAAGAAATAATGGAAATAAAATTAATCCGTGCAAGACGCCCAAAAGTATGAAAAAAAAATTTTTTTACCACATGAAATGTTAATTTTAATACACACAAACTGAAAAAGGCATGCACAATTACATGACACTTACTTTTATTGAAGATCTGGTGATGATTGATGGGATGGGAGGAGGGAGAGCATTATCTTCTTACTGTTTAGAAGGGGAACCCCCTTCCATTAGGACTTGAGGTAGCAAGCCCTTTTTTCTGGGGTTACTTCCCTTCTTCTTTTAATGCCACTAGGACCAGCTTCAGAGTCACTGGACCTCTGTCGCACAACAAATCTGTCCATAGAGCTCTGTACCTCCCGTTTCTTCAAGACTTTTTCCTAAAATGGGCCATAACATTGTCATTGAAATAGTCACAAGCACGGCTTGCAAACAGCTGTGTCAGGGTGATTTTCATCTATAAAGGTTTGCAGTTCAAACCACTCTGCACACATTTCCTTAATCTTTGAAGTAGGCACAATGGATTCCACAACTGGCATAGGCTTCTCAGGGTTAGCCCCAAACCCTTCAAAATCTTTCTTAATTTCCATACTAATTCTCACCCTTTTTACCACAGGGTTGGCACTAGAAGCTTTCTTGGGGCCCATGGTCACTTATTTTCCAGAAACACCACCGAAAACACTGTAATAATACGAAAAATTCCGAGTGTATGCTTGGATGTTACCGCGGAGGCTGGCTGGTAAACAATGGGACGGCCGGCACATGTGAGGGCACATTGGACGCGTCTCGGACGAAAATCGGTATGCGGGTTTTTAATCGGTATGCGGGGCAAAAATTTTGCGATAAAAGTAATCGTTATGCGGAAAAATCGCTATGCGATGCCATCGTTATGCGGGGGTCCACTGTACTTGAGAGTCTGGCCCCAAATCTTTACACTACCATAACATACTGGAATGAGAGAGATAAGAGAAAGTGTGAAATAAACCCAGTGAAAAGAAGGAGTACTGTGGGCACAGTAAGAGAACATTGTACAGTATCAACATCCATGGTCCCAGACTATTCAACATCTTACCA